CTTCTGTGTATCCTCTGGCATTCTCAAGACCATTTCAGTGAAACTGAAGATTACAGGTAAAATCAGACTGCCAAGAAAAAATGTCCTGATGTCAGAATTACTCCAGAAAACCACTTAGGAGGTCTCTGTTTTAGAGCTCTCAAAATCCAATATGGTCAATTTTTCCAGGAGTGGGAAAGATAATTGTTTATGTATAAGCTAAATAGTTGTCTTGCAAGCCTGGGACCATATTGTGTGGTGAACAGTTCCTGTTCTTTAAACATATTACATTTTGAGAAATGTCTACACCATGTGAAGTATCTACACCATAAGAGGCTGTAGGTGTGGAAGATCCAAGTTCTCCTTGACAAACACTTTATTATTGTAAATGTTTGGCTGAATGGTCAATACATGACTCTTGTATGAATAAGACAGTAACCAGAATGGTCTCTTGCTTACCTGGGGACCTTAGTGGTTTAACTAAGACAAGTGACTCAGATAGTGGGAAAACCTGAATAAAATAAATAGCATTGCCTTGGCATCAGAGAACGAGTCTCTGGGCCTATGAGAACTGTCAATGCCCTTCAAGCCACCTAATTTAGAAAGCTAATTACAGAAACACAAAATCACCCAAACCCGCATATGTTAGTCCATGGGCCAGTTTACACTGCCCCCGTTTTCTGAGTCAGGATGTGTTCGACATTACATAAGACTTTTACTACAAGACTATAATTATAAAGAGTATTTGATAACAGACTGTGAAGCATTTAGAAAAAATCTATTGTGTAATTATGGCATATTTTGGGAATTGGGATAAAATATTAATGAAACATATTTTCTTTCTACTCCAGCCTAGTAGAAGAGCAAAAGATTAATAGGAAATTAGAATATGGTAAGTGTGAGCCTAGAATGCTATAGGAACACACAGAGCTGACTCTTACCTCGAGTAGTTAGCCAGGCCCAGAAGTCAGAGGCAGTTCTTTTTAAATACAAGGAGCATCATGTGTGCGTAGCATGTGTAGTGGAAGTTTCTCTTTGACAAGAGTGTTGACAATGAACTGAATAGAAGATGCCCTATGTAGCCTGAATCTACTACATTTTCAGGAAACACAAAATGGAGGTATGAGCTACAAAGAAGACTTCGCATCACTGATGAGAATGTGCAGAACTGGTGAGAACTAAAAGAAACAAAATTTAGCGCCCTCAGTGGCATCTTAGTCCCTTGCCAAAGTGATGTAATCAGTGATGTTTGCCTGCAACATCAAATACTTTGAAAGCCTTACAGAAACCAGATGTTAAATATGTCTGCAAATCATTGACAATGTGATGAGCACACATTTACATGGAATGCTTAAAGAACTTCCAAACACTCATGAACACATTCGAATACCCACAACACTGCATCAGCAAAAGACCAGCAGTGCTCTTTGTTCAGTAAGGTAACTAATTATTGATCAATTATTTTGTCACTGAGGTACACACTGTTCAGAAGAAGGCAAAGGACAGCACTAGAATTATGGGGAATTTTAAACAGCCAAAGAAATTTTAGAAAATAGCATCTTTTGCAGTCCACACAAAAACATGTCATGGTTACCAAAGCATACAAATAGTGTCCACTGCCTAGAAGAAGAGGGCTTATAGTACAGATTTTTCTGTTTTCCTTTCTTTTATAAAAATATTTTATTGGATTTTTTAGAGAGAGAGGAAGGGAGGGAGCAATAGAAACATCAATGTGAGAGAGAAACATCTGTCGGCTGCCTCCTTCACACCCCCTACTGGGGATCAAGCCCACAACCCGGGCATGTACCCTGACTAGCAACCAAACTAGGACCCTCAGTCCATGGGACAATGCTTAGTCCACTGAGCCACACCAGCTGGGCTCCCTTTCTCTAGTGGATTTTAATTGTTTTGTTAATCCTCCACGGAGGATATTTTTCCATTAAATGTTAGATAGAGTGGAAAGGAGGAACGGGGAGAGGAGGATGAAAGAAAGAGAGATCAATTGGTTGCCTCCCACACAACTCCAACTGGGGCCAGGGATTGAACCTGCAACCCAGGTACGTGCCCTTGATCGGGAATCCAACCCATGACCCTTTAGTCCAGGCTGACGGTCTAACTACTGAGCCAAACCGACCAGGGCAATGGATTTTAATTTTGCTTGCTAATTCTGTATATCACCCTTTATATGTACCTTATTAGTCCAATTACCATTTTCATTGCTGTATTATAGTCACCAAGAAGGCAAATGTATGTGATGCTCCCTAATAAACACCAACTTTTTTTCTATCCCTTAAATCAGAAACAAAAAATGAAAAATATGAAGAGACAGACTCAAATGGTAGTAATTTCATTTTCTATCTTTCAGTATATTGAATCATTTCAGAAGCTGTGCCTCCATAAAAACCTTATCAAAACCCTGTGCTTGCCTATGGCAAACATACCAATCCACATTCATACTTCCTACAGTCACACACCTCTTGAAAATTCTTGATGTGCAATTGTCGTCATTTCGCCAGGTCATTTAATGACAAAACAATTGTCAGTTGCCTCAGATGGTTTTTATTTCACGTACCTACTAGCAATATTTGTGAATATATTCTTTGCTATACAAATTTCTCAATTTTCACTTCAAAATAGAAGAGGAGAATCAGTACTCCATTTTATTCAGCGGAAAGCGATACAATAATAAAACAAAGCACCTATGATTTAGAATGAGAAAGACCTGCCTTTGAATCTTGTTGTCTGATATTGGGAAAATTACTTAACTACTTAATTGGGTAGTTCTATTAATAAAGACATTACATATAGACCATAGTATACTGGTTGGCTCAATTTAGATAATAAATATAAGCTACTCTCATAATTACTTGTTATTAATGCAAAAATAGCAATTTTGTTAACTTCTGATTTCATGGTTAGTCCTTTTTTCAATGTGCAGTTCAGGAGTCCTGACTGTTCTATGAATTGGAAGGAAAGCCACTTAACTTCCCTGAACCAGAGCTGCTTCCAGTGGGAAATGTGAATATTAATGCCTACTTGCCAGATTATTACAAAGACTAAATGATAAACAGTCATTGAATAGTAACTTTGAGTATGCAAAAGCAGTAGTTGAAAAACAAGTACTCATCTGATTTATAAGCCTTGGAGTAAAATAATTCCATCTTACACAGAGAAGGAGAAATAGGATCGTCTTCAGTCGCCAATCCTGTTGGTTAGTCACGGCCTGGCATGTTCTGTGAGAGGGACGCCAGTACTTACTATGCGTCTGCATGCATGCAGTGTTGATGAATACACAAACTGGAACCCAGCATGTGACTATCATTAAGTATATTGAAATATCCCCAGATACTCATACAAAGCCATTGAAAAGATCAAATATCCTGTAGATACTACATATTTTAAGAACTTGAAATATAAAGCTACTGCCCTTTCAATGTAAAAAGTGTTATAGGAAGGAGACTAGTGATAAAATCTGGAAAAGCAACAACTAAAACAAGATCCAACCCTCTTACCCTTGTTTTTCGCCAGATCTGTTTGGCAAAGCATGTAGAATGTTAGAAACTCTGTATTGTCTCAGTTTGCCATTATTCAAATACTTTGTTGATTTATTTCCATTCATTCTAATCAGTGGCAGTGACTACTACAGATGGAGTGAGGACTAGAGATCTTAAGATAATAAAGGTTTGTCAACAGTGATTCTAAAATATACTTGCATATGACAAAGAACTGTTAGAGGCTGTATAGAAAACAAGAGGAGCATTACATTTAAGGGCCAATTCTTCAGAAACCAAAGAAACAGACCTGAGATTTGTTTAACGTAATCAAAGGGTTTTATTTCTGAGAACTGAAATACTTCAGATCTAAAATTCCAAAGCTAGTTAGAGTTAACAATTTTTCATCAGAGCCCAAGGGTAAGGTCAGGGGTGAAAAAGACAAAAGATGATTAGGGCATAGAGAGACCACTAGAAAGAGGTGAGGAGGGGCCACTTATTTCTCTTCTCAGTAGGGTACACATCAGGTCTGGTGTGGGGTTTGGAAGTGTGAATAGGAAATGACACTGCGAAGGAACACCAAGGCCTTAACTACAAAAAGGAAGGCATTAAAACCCAAACTGAAGGGTACCTCCTAGTTCATCTAAGATATGAGGGTAGCAGTGGAAGAGTTAGAGGTCCAATGGAGGTATACCCATGGGTAGTTCTTAATTTTAAAAAAAAAAAAATCATTTTATTAAAAAGGTTCCTAAACTATGTGCCTTGTCTTTTATGACTGTAAGTTGGCCTTGAGGCTCTAAGGAGAGGGGAAGGGTGTGGCCAGGGGTCTTCCAGGAACAACCCATATGGTCCTAGAGATCTAAATGGAGATAGATGTTCCTCACCATGTCCATCCAAGAAGCTGGGCAAAGCTAAGCCTTCCAATCTCACAAACAACTTGGGAGCCCCCAAATCATTTTATGAGCTATGACAACTCTCAGAACTCCCTGGGTCAGCAAAAGGAGTTTGGAAGGGAGGCCCTCCCCAACAAGCTGTGCCACTTGTCCTAACTCTAGGAGGCCGGTGTAGTAAGTTTTGGAAGAGAGGACAGGAGCTCGTGGAGATGTCCCTTTCCTGCCACCATCCACCCACCACAGTTTCAGGGCTGCCCCTTCCAGGCCTCTTCATCCCTACCCCGTCCACTCCTGCCCGGCTCCAATGCAGAGGTCCGGACGTCGTGGGGGGCAGACGGGTGTCGGGAGGTGGGAATGGCGGGTGCAGGCCCCGACAGAAGACATGGGCAACAGTTCCAGGCAGGACGGCACACGGTGGCCTCGTCTCATCCCGGGGCACAGGGGCCCTGACTCAGATCCCAGGGACGTGGGGGCGGAGGTGGAGGACAGGGGGCCTGCCAGTCCAGGTCAACCTCGAGGCCGGGTGAGGGTGGGGCGGGTGGAGGGCAGCGGGCAGGGCGGGAGGTGGTCTCAGTTCTCGGCCCCTAAACAGGCCACGGTGGGAATGAGGAGGGGGCTCTTGTGGACACTCTGGCGATCACAGGCTCTCAGGGTCCCCGTCGGCCGGGACCTCGGCCTCCTCCTCCACCTCGGCAGCCTCTTCCTGCAGCTCCCCTTCTTCCTGCGGTGGCCCCCACACCGGGCCCGGCTCCAACGCCTCCAGCAGGATGGGCCTCGCCGCCTCGCAGGCCGCCGCCTCCTTTCCCTCCTCCTCCTTGCCTTCGGGATCGGCCTCCTTGGGGCGTTTGGGGGCCTCCTCCGGCAGGCCCTCGGCGCTCCTCTTCAGGGGTCCCCCCTCGTCCTGGCCCTGGGCCGGCTCGTCGACGCGCTGCTCCCCGTCCTCGTCTCCGCTCTTCGCGGCCTCGGCGGCCTCGGGGGCCTCGGGCGCTGGCCCCGGCGCGGGCCCCTCGGCGCCGCTCTTCTCCTGGGGGCCCTGGTCGTCGCAGGCCTGGATGGTGGGGTTGTTCTCGATCTCCCACAGCCCCTCACTGAAGCCCCGCCTCTTGTTGGGTTTGCCGAACTTCTCCTTGCACTCCGCGTAGGGGAAGAGGTGTTTGGGGCCCAGGAGGGCGGTCTCGTGGGTCCCAAAGAAGAACACTTGATACCGGTTGTGTTCGGCCATGTGCTCGATCCGGGCAGGCCAGTGGGCGTAGCCCTTTAACTTGGCGAACACCAGGTCTCCGCTCTGGTACTTGGGCGTGCAGTAGTCCGACATGGCGGAGAGGACGGCCTCGGTGGTGGCGGCCGCCAGGAGAAGCCGGACGCGCATGCGCGTCGAGCAGCCGCTGAGCGCGGCCGCGCGCCCCGGAGGGCCCCGCGCCGCCTTCTCCCGCCGGCCCCGCGCCCACCGCCCCGCCTCAGCCTCGGGTTTCTCGCATGAATGAGGGGACGGCCTGGACCACCCAGGCGGTTGTGCTGACGGTGGCCTCGTGCTGCTCCGTCTCGAGGCCACGCAGATTGCATGGTTGGCTGTGCGCCCGAGGGGCCCCCAAAGGGTGAGATAAAGCAATGGGGTGAGAGGCCGCAGGGTGCCGTGCTGCCCCTGACTGCGCGCTACCGAAAACCACTCCTGCTCAGGATCCGTGGATGGATGGCTGGATCAGTGGTGTCCAGAACGGTGGAGGCCTGGCAAAGGGACAGAGCCAGCAATATCGGCAGGATGTCTAGAGTGCCCAGCTGTTTGTTGGTAACCAGATTCATTCCAAACGTGTAGTACTCTGGGTGGGGGGTGGTGTCGCGAAATGTATATATAGCTGCTTTATGGGTGTGACAAACCAGTCATATCAAAAGTCCCTGTTTTACATGGGAGGTTCACATTGGATGAGCACATGGATTTCCCCTGTAAGTGATTCTTGCGTATTGTAAAATACAAGACCATGGTTCTGACATGGAGAGTGTGTGTCAGATGCTCTCAGTATCTTTCTACAAGAGAAGAAAATTGGGTTCATTTTTGCTTAAGAATTAAGTAGAGATCTGCTCCTATCAAATAGGCTGTTGGTAACCAGAAACAACTTCCTAGGGGCCCACAGACTGAAAAAGTATCACCATAGCTGAAAGACTATTTTAAGAAGCCATTTTTCTCCAGATTAATGTATTCCAAACTGGTATTTATAGGAATTTCAATGTAACCGCAGCTATTATACAACTTTCTACATCTTTTTTGAGTCCTGCTAGCTAGCTGTGAATTTGCACTCTGAAACTTAGCCAAATTTATCATAACCGTACTCTTGGCTATTAGGACAAAGACTTTTCAATATCAATCATTTAACCAGACTAATGTTCTTTCCTGGTGTAACTCATAATGACCAGTGGAGAATTTTAACCATTGACCCATTTCAATACCACTCACATTTTTTTCTGGTTTGGATCAGTTATTTTACCTCTGGGTGATGAAGACCTGCACTGGGCAAAACAAATATGATGCCCTTTGGAAATTCTAAACAGGTTTTTTTAGCTTTTTGTCCAACCACCTTCTTAGAATGCTTATCTGCGTCACAAATATCTACAGTTTTACCAATTACATAAAACCAACAATGTATCAACCATTCATTCACAAATCGACATTCCACTCCAGAGATGAACGTGGCACATTTTCTCCTAAGGAAAGTGCTAGAAAACTAGAAATGTTTAATGGCTGTAGGAGAAAATGGGAAATCCTGGGCAGGTATAGAGCCTACAGTAGGAAGGAATGTGGAGTTTCTTTAAGTAGAGGTCTTATTCCATGTGGTTTGTTTTCTCAGCCCTAAGTATACTCCACTACTGCATAGAGCATGTTAAGGTGATCAAGGAGGAAAAAGTCTGGCTAGACAGCATGTCCACAAGGGTTACATAGTTGTGCCATCAGCTCAGTCTGAAGGTATGGCCAAACTTAAGAACCTAAGGTAAGTGTGATCACAGGCAGATGGACCAAACATCAGATTAGGGTTACAGCAGGTGAACAGATATGAGGATTGTACTAGGGATCTGATAATCAGAGAAAATAACCAAAAACCTTGAAACAAGAAAATATGGTTGGAAGCAGAGGCAAGAAGATTTAGTGGACAATCTAGTCTCACACCGATGTTTCTCTCTCTCTCTTCCTCCTTACCTCCCTTCCACTCTATTTGCAAAGGGTAATAGAAATTATATCAGGCAAAAGAAGTGCCACTCTCCTATCTCCACTAATACACAGTGTGGTGTTAAAAGGCTGGCACAAAAGATGTTTATCTTTGAAGAGTTTAAAATCTAATTTAAAAGATAAAGTACCAGAGACTTCATGCTAGAGCAATGCAAGCTAATATTCAAGTGCTAAATCATGTGTCCTTTACATAAATATGAAGGAATTCCAGGAGAAACTAATGGGAGTGTGGTTGTTAGGATGGGCTTATGGACGGAGGTAATAGGAGGTATAATAGAAAGAATTCTAGCATCTCTGACTTGCTTACCACCCTTGTAGGGGTGGGAGTAGTTATAATCTCTCTGAGCCTCTAGTACATGATCTTAAGATGTTTAAAGTAATTCTTAGAATTTCTCTCAGGATAGTTATAAATATTAATGAGATTGTGGCTATGAAAGTCCAGACATTGGGTATAAAGCTTTATGATGCACTAACAAAAGAGAAGTCAGATTTCATTATGGACAGAATTAAGCTATTATTATTAGGCTGTGTGGGAAAAGATATACCAAAAGGACTGATATCATGATTAGGGCACTAAAAAGTGAAGAAAAGTTCTTCACCATATGTGCCTTCAATTACACATGGAATTACACATTCAGCACAACTTCTGTATAAAACATACAAGTTTTGCCCGACCGGTATGGCTCAGTGGTTGAGCGTCAACCCATGCACCAAGGTCACCAGTTCGATTCCCTGTCAGGGCACATGCCCAGGTTGTGGGCCAAATCTCCAGTGGGGGGCATGCAGGAGGCAGCCAATTGATGTTCTCTCTCATTGATGTCTCTCTCTCTCTCTCTCTCTCTCTCTCTCTCTCTCTCTTCCTTCCCCTCTCTAAAAATCAGTAAAGAAAAAAAAATTAAAAATATAAATAAACATATAAGTTTTTGTTACTTGGGAATACTATTTTTAAAAACAACATTCTTCAATTAAATGTATCACCTAATGATAACTAATTTCAGAAAGGGGAGAGTGGGAGGAAGCTTGAGCAAAAGTAGAATGCATGTGAGTTAGAGACCACTTGCACAGATGCCTATTCCTTTTATACTTCCATTCTCAGAATACCATGAGATAGCATGATCTTGGCTTCTTTTACCCCAGAAACCAAGTTGTTTTTAAAGCTGTTGTCTCCCTGCTTAGAGTGAGGTGAATAGGGAGGTGGCGTTCATGGTACCTTGGTTAGGTTAAGAGTTGGCTATTATCCAAAGGACTCATGAGTAACTACAGTGATTAATGTTCAGGAATTTGATCTCCATGAACTCAAATGTTTCTAATAGGTCAGGATGTTTTAAAAATCAGCCTTGGGCCCTGGCCGGTTTGACTCAGGGGTTAGAACGTTGGTCTGCGGTCTCGAGAGACCCAGGTTCGGTTCCCGCTAAGGGCATGTACCTCGGTTGCAGTTTGTCCCCGGCTCTGCCTGGGTCGTGCAGGTGGCAGCCACTCGATGTGTCCCTTTCACATTGATGTTTCTCTCTCTTTCTCTTCCTCTCTCTCCCTCCCACTCTATCTGAACAAAAGAATGGAAAAATGTCCTCAGGTGAGGATAAAAATAAATAAATAAATAAATAAATAAATAAATAAATAAATAAATAAATATCAGCCTTGGTGGTTTGGCTCAGTGTTTAGAACATTGGCCCTTAGATCGAAGAGTCATGGGTTCAATTCCCAGTCAAGGGCACATACCTATGTTGCAGGTTCAATCCCTGGCCTGGTTGGGGTTGTGCAGGAGGCAGCTGGTTGATGTGTCTCACATCGATGTTTCTCTCACTCTCTCTTCCTTCTAACCTCCCTTCCACTTTATTTAAAAATCAATGGGAAAATATCCTCAGATGAGGATTAAAAATAATAGGAAAAATATCAAATGTACCAAGAACACCTGTTTGTAAGAAGGACGTAATTTCAGCAGCAGCATACCTAGCAAAACACCTTAGAATCCAAAACATAACATTTCTCTAGCAAAATGATGATAGGATTTAAAAGCTGCTTGGCAACCATTGTGAAACAGGGGCAATAGAACAATATAATTGTACAAGAGAGAATAGATATCTAATTGATGTCTTCTTGTTTAATTAGTTTTACTTTCAATTACTTTGGTGTAAACTGTGATTGAAAATACATGTAATTGTTTTCTACATACTTTTGTCTTCATTAAAAAATATTAGCTGCCTCCGGGTTTATGCACCAGAAGTGTTTATACATGGTTGGTATTTGGAGTCCAGGTTTTCCTCTTTAGAATATTCTAGCAGACGTAATTATACAGAAAATAAATCCCCTCCCCTCCACCACAGGTAGAAAATCCGCCCACTGTCCTTTTTTGAAAAGTCTCAAAAGGTATGCTACCTCTATATTTTGCCCCCTCTACATTTCATTCATTTCCACTTAGCCTAACCTTTAAAGCCTCAGGGATTTCTGCACTTCAATGGATCTGCTGAGGGTGAGGATAAATTCAGCTTCAGTGGGGATGTCCCACAGTTAAAGGATCATTTAAGGAATGTTCCCAAGGACCTGCATCATAATCAATTGGAATAGTGAGTCAAATCTGTATGTGCCTTTGATGATGGGATTGGGCAGGGAGAGATGAGGGTGGAGATTTCCCAAGTGGTGCACGTGCCCTGGCAGTTTGGGTCCCTTGGCCAGTTATAAATGTTATGGGGTGATATGTAGGAGGGGACAAATGGAGAGATCTGTCTTGTTTTCCAAACAGTTGTTTTAGTGGCAATGGAAAGAAAATTGCCACTCTAAAGTTAATAAAAGTGGCTGGTTAAAAATAATTGTATTTCATTATACTGATTTGTTGGGGATTCAACGATTTTTAAAATTACTCTTTGGGAAATAAATTTTAAAAATAAAATGTGTTTCAATAATATCAATATTTTTCTAATTTGAATCTTGCATAGTATTGATATAATTAGCAATGCTTAAACAATTCAGTTATTGATGCTAGTGAATATTTAGTAATTGAGAATTAGATGCATTTAACATGGTCTGTTTATACATGATCATTATGTAATTAGATGGCTATGGTCTGTGTCTTTAAGGTTTTTAAAGTCCAATTTAGTGAC